TTATATATATTTTTTGTTTCTTATTATTATTATAATTTTTTTTAAAAAAAATTATGAAAAAAAAAAAAAGAACAAAACGTGCTATGGGGACATGCTTGGGGTTTGCGTGTGTTTTTTTTTCCTTCATTTCCCGACACTATGGGGACATGCTTGGGACATGCAATGGTTCTTGAGTGGTCAATTTCCTGTAGTCATAAGCATACGCACGGACTTTAGGCAAGTAATACTTGTAAGGGGTTGCTAGAACGTGCTAGCATGCAAACATTCCTTAGCCGGGACTTTTGGAAAGGAGTTTTGGGAAGTACGATAAAATTACATTTATGTCTTTAAGGTGAGATTTTGGAGAACCATAATAAACCACACGTCCGTTTATTACTAATATATATTTTAGAAAGACAAATATTTTTACACTAAATCAAATTATACTTTTTTTCCAAAATAATTACGGTTTAATTAATTTATGAAATTTTTATAATATAAATAAAGAATTTTATTCATTTAACTCGTTTAAATAAAATAAAAAAGTCTATTTTTCTTCTTTCATTTTATCTCATTAATAATTTAGAAAACTTATCATTTGTAATCAATTTTTTTACAATTTCATTTATATTCATTTGTTAAAAACTAATATGTTTTAAAATCTCATGCATACTTATTTGCTAACTGCTAACGACTACTAATATGCTTTTAATATTAAAATAATAATAATAATAATAATATAAAAGTTTATAATAACTCCAATTGTAACGGGATAAAGAATAAACATAACCAATTTAAATTTATCTAAACTTAAAATTCATATAACATATTATGTCCTCCTTTTACAGATACTAAACTATAGTCGAAAACAGTTGCATAAAAGTCGTCGTGAAGTCCTTTTATTGGAATAGGTTTGACCCGATGAGTTTTAATATTGTAAAAAATCAATTGTCTTTCGTTGGTCTGCATTAAAAGTTCATCCGAACTCGCCACCAACAATGGCTTCTCAATTCCAAATGACGGACCAATTGTGAATAGTTTTGACCACGAAACAACACCATCTTCATTCTTCTTCCTCTCCCAAATGTATATGTCTTTTTCCTTCTGTATTATTCGATGGTAAAATACATGAAATATGACAATGTTTCCATTCAAAATCCCAATAGTTATAAACGCCTTATTCACATGCGCTAAACTGTCTGGTATTGAAATTTCGTCAAAAACTTCTTCGCTAATGTCGAACGTTTGTATAATATTTTGTGACCACCAATAATATTTTCCTTCATGATACATATCAAAAGAACATTTCGACATTAAACGGTCACAGATAGGGGATTCAATTTCTCTCCATCTATCTTTTCTCAAATCATAAATTTCCACCCTAATTGGACGAGATGCATTATATCTGTGCAAAAATTGTACCACCCTAACCACTTTGAAATCTCTAGATTTGGAATCGTATCCGAACCCAACAGTCTTTGAGTTCCAATAATGAAGTTCATGATCAGGTCTAGTGTAGTGAAGAATCGACGAAGGGAGTTTACGATACTCTCTAGTCGTCGGATTACAGAGGAAAACATCCTTACGGTACGATAGACAAACCAAGCCATGAGAATGACCACGAATCATGAAATATGGAGTATCTTTACTAAATGGAAAGTCGAAATTGATAATAGATAGAGATCGATCGAGGTCATGGGAAAACTTGAGGATGAAGTGTATATGTTTGTATAAACTACCCTCGTAAGTGGTATGCTTAAGAAGAATAGACTTATGTTGAAGAGAACAATTTGTAGGATCGTTGATCAGAGCATACCAAAATTTACAAACTAACTTGAATGAGGATAAAGTCTTTAGCGGAAGCCTCGATAGGATCATGATCAACAATTCTGTAGGGAGATTTTTTAGAGTTGCCATGAAAGACCTCGGAAAGAGATTCCAAATGATGTGTATTTTTTGGAATAAACTAAGTCGAGAATGAAGAAAATAGTGAAACCGTAGTGTTTATATATAAATTCATTAATCATATTTGCCACCAAAATAATTTCTCAAAAATTACACATGCAAATCAAATCTATTTTTAATGTCGGATTAAAATCTTAATTAAATAAAATTTACTCAATTGAAATTTGTGTTAATCAACCATATTAATTATTTTTTTAATCATGCTTTGTTCAAATTTTATACTATATTTACAATATTCGTATTAATGAGTGATTTATTTTATATTATTGCAATTTATTATTTATTTTCAAAATTAAAATCTTATAAATTAACTATTTAAATTATAATGAGGAAACTATCAGAAACCATATTATAAATGTATTTATAAATAATGTTTTAGACATTATTTTTATTTTAGTTTTTTATAATAATGACAATTTTCTAATATAAATTTGGTTTTAGTTTGGAACAATCTAATTATGTATCTAAATCAATATGTTGTAGGATTAAAAATAAACAAATAAAATAAAATAAATTTACCGTATTTTATTTACTTCAATATTTCCTTCCTTTATTAATTACTTTTATCTATATATATATATATATATATATATATATTTATTTTTATTTTTTTAATTAATATTTATGTTTATTACCAAAAGAGAAATATTGTTTAGAATCAAATTACACATTTTTTTTTAAAACAATTACAGTTGAATTTATTTATGAAATTTTAATAATATTAATAAATAATTTTATTCATTTGATTTATTTAAATAAATAAATCAGTAATTTTTTTTTCAGTTTATCTAATTAATCTTTTAAAATAATTTTGAAAAAATTATAATATTAATTCTTACCTATTTTTTTTTTTGTGCCCACCAATAATATGTTCCTTCATGATTCATCTCAAAAGACAATTAGGACTTTACACGTCCATACATAGGGGTTCAATTTCTCTCCATCTATCTTTCCTCAAATTGTAAATTTCCGCTCTAGGAGGGGAGGTGCCAACATTCTACAACCATAACTACTTGAAATCCCTAGATTTGGAATCGTATCGGAATCCGACTGCATTCGTGTGTGACGATTCAAATTCATAGGGCGATCCTGTGTAGTGAAGAATCGAAATACTTTCATGAAACTACATCTACCTTACCTTCAGTATCATAACCGTTCCTGCAACGTCGTTCGTGCAGAGGTGTTTTGCCTTTATCCAAAAAAGAAAAAAGAAAAAAAATTAGCACGTGGCTTGAATATTTTTAGGAAGACTCGATAAGTGACCCTACTATTAGAGTTAGGAAATGAAATCACACATGAGACCTATCGTTTCATGGCATTGGTCTCAACTCCAAGTCAACACACAATTGGATGTATAAAACTACTCTACATGTGGCCCACGGACGTGCACATGAACCCCAAACGAGCTCGTATACATACTTCTGGATCTAGCCTTCAACTAGCATACATTCACGATTTCGATGTACTATGGAGGAAAGAGAGCACACGTAGTATCATGGTATACATAGTACCGTATCGTAATATTATAATGTATGCGTTCGTACTAATAATAACTGAAAAGTATTTCGATGCATGTGAACGTACCGTATGCATGAAATTCTTATAATTTAAAATCAAAACTATGGATGATGCAATATATATTTTCGTTCATTTCACACGTAATTAATCATTCTATTCATTATAAAATTATTTTGTTTGGCTTTTAGTGCATTTTTTTCTCCATCATCTTTATCTACTCAAGAATAAAAAAAAGAAATTGTTTTTAAAATAATAATGAACTTATCCAAAATTAAAATCAGACGACATCGTTTTAAGTAGGAGTGTACAATCAACTGGCAACCCGACAACTCGGACCAATCCAACCCGAACTGAATCGGTTGGATTGAGTTGGATTAGCATTTCGGGTAGGGTTGAGTTCATTTTTTCTGAACCCGAACTGAATCGGTTCGATTTTGGGTTCATAGGTAAAACCTTCGAGTTGGGTTGGCCCAAGTTAATAAAAAAAACTCTTAAAATAATAAAAAATCCTTTCCTATGTACTAAATGTTAATCAAGAAGCTATAATAGATGCTAGAACGGTCAAAATATTTTAAGCTGAACATTCAAAATATTTTAATATAATTTATAAAATTTTGTTTGGATGGGTTCGGATTGTCGGATTCTTGGGTCCGGGCCGGTTCTATCTCTGGTCTCGGGTTGATGGGCTTCGTGGGTCGTCTGTCTGGATGTGGGCTGAGGCGTTTGGTGGAAACGGGTTGGGGTGAGCGGCGAATGGGTCGTGGAGCTGGGCTGTTGGGTATGGGCTCTTGAACCTAGGTTGGTTCACTTTCAGGCCTATGGGTTGAATTTTTTCTCCCGCTAGACGACGATATTGTCTTATTTGGGCTATCGTCTTATTTGGGTTATCTTTTTAAAATTTTCCTCAACATTTTTAAAACGCGTATGTTAGGGAGAGGCTTTCACACTCTTAATGCTTCGTTCCAGGGAGAGACTTTCACACTCTTAATGCTTGGTACCAGGGAGAGGTTTTCACACTCTTAATGCTTCGTTCTCTTCCACAGAAGATGTGGGATCTCATAATTCACCCTCCCCTTTCGTGTCAAATGGTAACGACTCAGGCCCACTGCTAGCCGATATTGTCATCTTTAGGCTTTCTTTCAAGGTTTTTAAAACGCCTCTGGTAGGAAGAGATTTCCACACCCTCAATGTTTCATTCTCCTCCTCAACCGATGTGAGATCTCACAATACTTGGTTGTTAGTTCAATCCTGCGAGTAGAAAATCAAATCGACTATTACTTAATGAGAAGATAGCTACTGGGAGAGAAGGTCCATAAGCAACTAAATACTGTGAACGAATATAGTTGTGACTCTGCTAGCGAAGATTCAAGACATAATAGCACACGGTTCGCAATGGAACTGGTCAAGTGTCTCGGTGAAGGATGTCGAAGTCTTACTATATATATTTTAAAAGAGAAATTTATGAATTTTTAATAATAATAATAAAGAATTTATACAAAATTAAAATCAAACATAAAAGTTTATAACAACTTCTCGGATTAAAATTCATACAACACATTATGTCCTCCTTTCACAGAAAGTAAACTATGGTCGAAAAAAGTAGCACAAAATTCGCTACAAGGCCCTTCTATTGGAATAGGTTTGACCCGGTGAGTTTTAATATTGTAAAAAATCAATTTTCCTTCATTGGTCTGCATTAAAAGTTCATCAGAACTCACAAACAACAATGGCTTCTCGTTGATCTTCCTTAAAACTTCATTCGGACTCACCACGAACAATGGGTTCTCAATTCCAAATGTAGGACCAATTGTAAATAGCTTTGACCATGAAACAACATCGTGTTCATCTTTCTTCATCTCCCAAATGTATATGACTTTTTCAACATCAGTTGGATGGTAAAATATAACAATGCTTCCATTCAAAATCCCGAGAGTTATATATTTCTTATGCACTTTCGCTAAGCAGTCTGGTACTGAAATTTCGTCAAAGACTTCTTTGCTCATGTCGAATGTTTATATAATATTACTTCCTCTTATTTCTTGTGACCACCAATAATAGGTTCCTTCACGATACATCTCCAAAGAAAATATAGTTAATTTCTCTCCACCTATCTTTCCTCAAATCATAAATCTCCACTCTAGTTGGACCAGTTTCATCATATATGTGCACAAATTCTACAACCCTAACCACTTTGAAATCTCTCGATTTGGAATTGTATCCGAATCCAACAGCATTTGAGACCGAATAATGAGATTTATAGACAGATTTCGTGTAGTGAAGAATAGATGGAGGGAGTTTACGGAACTCTTTGGTCGTCAGATTAAAGAGGAAAACATCCTTATCGTGCGATAGACAAAACAAGCCATATTAGAATTCTTTTTTATTGAAAAAAAAAAATGACAAACAAAAAGGTTGAGATTTAGTTTTGCTGCAATATTGGATTCCAAGAGGTAAGTAATCTTCCTTTCATTTTATTGAATGATATTAATTTAATTACCATGAGTTAGTTTATTTTATAATTTCGTATGAGTTTTAGGAAATGTGGAGAGAAAAATAATTAACAGACAAAAAAAAAAAAAAAAAAAA